CGCCTTGATAGGTCTTTGGAAAAAATATTCTTTAAAAAATCCACGCCTTGATCTTGATAGGTCTTTGGAAAAAATATTCTTTAAAAAATCCACGCCTTGATAGGTCTTTGGAAAAAATATTCTTTAAAAAATCCACGCCTTGATAGGTCTTTGGAAAAAATATTCTTTAAAAAATCCACGCCTTGATAGGTCTTTGGAAAAAATATTCTTTAAAAAATCCACGCCTTGATAGGTCTTTGGAAAAAATATTCTTTAAAAAATCCACGCCTTGATAGGTCTTTGGAAAAAATATTCTTTAAAAAATCCACGCCTTGATAGGTCTTTGGAAAAAATATTCTTTAAAAAATCCACGCCTTGATAGGTCTTTGGAAAAAATATTCTTTAAAAAATCCACGCCTTGATAGGTCTTTGGAAAAAATATTCTTTAAAAAATCCACGCCTTGATAGGTCTTTGGAAAAAATATTCTTTAAAAAATCCACGCCTTGATAGGTCTTTGGAAAAAATATTCTTTAAAAAATCCACGCCTTGATAGGTCTTTGGAAAAAATATTCTTTAAAAAATCCACGCCTTGATAGGTCTTTGGAAAAAATATTCTTTAAAAAATCCACGCCTTGATAGGTCTTTGGAAAAAATATTCTTTAAAAAATCCACGCCTTGATAGGTCTTTGGAAAAAATATTCTTTAAAAAATCCACGCCTTGATAGGTCTTTGGAAAAAATATTCTTTAAAAAATCCACGCCTTGATAGGTCTTTGGAAAAAATATTCTTTAAAAAATCCACGCCTTGATAGGTCTTTGGAAAAAATATTCTTTAAAAAATCCACGCCTTGATAGGTCTTTGGAAAAAATATTCTTTAAAAAATCCACGCCTTGATAGGTCTTTGGAAAAAATATTCTTTAAAAAATCCACGCCTTGATAGGTCTTTGGAAAAAATATTCTTTAAAAAATCCACGCCTTGATAGGTCTTTGGAAAAAATATTCTTTAAAAAATCCACGCCTTGATAGGTCTTTGGAAAAAATATTCTTTAAAAAATCCACGCCTTGATAGGTCTTTGGAAAAAATATTCTTTAAAAAATCCACGCCTTGATAGGTCTTTGGAAAAAATATTCTTTAAAAAATCCACGCCTTGATAGGTCTTTGGAAAAAATATTCTTTAAAAAATCCACGCCTTGATAGGTCTTTGGAAAAAATATTCTTTAAAAAATCCACGCCTTGATAGGTCTTTGGAAAAAATATTCTTTAAAAAATCCACGCCTTGATAGGTCTTTGGAAAAAATATTCTTTAAAAAATCCACGCCTTGATAGGTCTTTGGAAAAAATATTCTTTAAAAAATCCACGCCTTGATAGGTCTTTGGAAAAAATATTCTTTAAAAAATCCACGCCTTGATAGGTCTTTGGAAAAAATATTCTTTAAAAAATCCACGCCTTGATAGGTCTTTGGAAAAAATATTCTTTAAAAAATCCACGCCTTGATAGGTCTTTGGAAAAAATATTCTTTAAAAAATCCACGCCTTGATAGGTCTTTGGAAAAAATATTCTTTAAAAAATCCACGCCTTGCTGGTCTTTGGTAAAAATATTCCTATTTAAATTTATATTTTTATTAATTCCCATTTTCAGGTGAAATAAAATACTCAATTCAAATTTATGACGCCTGTATGGAGGCTTTTGACTGTTTGCCATTGGCGGCTCTATTAAATCAACAGTTTCTGTGTATTCATGGAGGTCTATCACCTGAAATCTTTACCCTAGATGATATCAAAAAGGTAAGGAACTCAGAAAAGGTGTTCGCATATACAAAATATATTTACAAATGAAAATCCATTTCAGTTAAACAGATTCCGTGAACCCCCCGCCTTTGGACCCATGTGTGATCTCTTGTGGTCCGATCCGTTGGAAGATTTTGGCAATGAAAAAAATAGTGATTATTTTACACACAATTCAGTGCGTGGTTGTTCGTACTTTTTCAGGTATGAATGATGCAGTTTATTATACCCTACACAACTATGTTGTCAGGGTATTATAGCTTTGTGCAGCCCCAAAAGTTTGTAACGCCGCGAAATATTGGTCCTAGACCCACCTTTAAGTATACCGATCGTCATATCTCGACTAGCTGAGTCGATCTAGACATGTGTGTCCGTCCGTCCGTCCGTCCGTCCGTCCGTCCGTCCGTCTGTCCATTATAATTTGTAAACACGATACAGGCCACAGTTATGGACCAATCTTCACGAAATTTTGCATGTAGGATGGGTTCTGGCCAATGAAGACCCCTATTGTTTTTGGGAAAGATCGGTTAATATTTAGGGGATGAAATGGACCAAATACTAAATTTTTGTCGGTTTTTCTGGTCGCTCCACAGGCCGCAATAATGACCCGAACATCGTGAAATTTTGCATGGAGAAGGGGGTCGGGCCAAAGAATAAGCATGCCTGTTTTGATAAAGATCGGTCAATATTTAGTGGGTCAAATGGACCCTGACTTTTGTGTGAAAAATGACAAAATTTGTATTCTATAGCGTATATATTTACCCCTGAAGGACATAGACCCGAAAAATTGATGTTATATCCAAGAGGAGTGGTTGACCATTAAATTAAGACCAATTATATTGTCGCATGTGCTCTGATGTGGGAGTTACACCTAAATATTTACAGGTATCTCCGTATTTGTATGTTATTTAGTAACCCATTATCACTCTAGAGAGCCGAACATAGCGCTGATCGCTTTGAAATGTTTCATGAGGTTCCAGTTATTGTCAAGGACAACGCCTTTAATTTTCGGTGATGATCAGATAATAATTTTGGAATGAAGTGGACCGAAAACTTAATTTTTTTGTGTTATTTTCGAGTCGATCTACAACAACACAACCCACGGTGAAGGGAATCTGGACAATAACTGTACTGAATACTCGTAATATTCGGAAAATATGTCAGTGTGAGGAAGAGGTGCTGTTTACCTCTAATCGGGCAAGAGTGTGCAAATATCACGAAATATTGCCCAGGCTCGGAATACACATCCGTAGAAAATTTGAGTTCAGTGGTAGTTGTGTAGGGTATCGTATGGTCGGCCCCGTCCGACTATACTGCTCCGCTCACTGGTTTTTAGCATTTAATTGTTTCTTTGCCACAATAAATAATAATCGTTTGTATGATTGCCGGCCAGCAGCCTGCCTGACTACCTACCACCCGCCTTCTTTAATTATGTTTATTTAATTTTTTCTTTCTTTTAGCTATATGGCCTGCTGTGAATTTCTACAAAAGAATAATTTGTTATCGGTTGTCAGAGCCCATGAAGCACAAGATGCGGGGTAAGTAGTGTTTGTGTTTAGTTTCAATTCAAATCACTATTTTAAGTGGGTCATTGTCGTCGTAATACGTTTTTTTAATTTCAATTTATCTGCTCTTTATTTTCTAGCTACCGCATGTATCGCAAAAATCAGGTTACCGGTTTTCCATCTCTGATAACAATATTTTCGGCGCCCAATTATTTGGATGTTTATAACAACAAGGTATTTACAATAAATGAAATTCATCTTATAAACATTTGTTCGACGAATATTAGATCAGATGTGTATTGGTTATGTTTACGTTTTTTTGGAGGTTGCAGGTGAATTGTCGAATAATAGCCATTTTAATTGCTACGAAATGCGTTTTCGAAATGTTTAAATTTCCATAATAGCGGATTTGCGTCTAAAAATTTTGTTTTAGTTTTGTTTAGTTCATATGAATATGTATTGCAATCTATTTCAAAATGGAACGAAATGTACGGTTTTTTAATTTTTAAAAGACTTTACGTATACGTTGTGACAATACTTATACGCCACCGGTGATATGCTTTGAGATCAATATTTGGAGTTCTGCATAGGTTGTAATTAGGAAGTTAATCTGAATTTATGTGATTTACATTTACAATTTAAGGTCTAACATTGTTGACGTTCTTCTCGTACTGGCGGAGCTGACCGCAAAACTTATTTTCTCGGTTAAACTTGTCGATGTATTTGAACGATATAGTTAAGGTATTTTCCTATCAAAATGCAAACCGCTTGGCTTACATTTTCGCCTTTGTAAAATGTTCATTTCCATTTTTAACACACTGTAACTCACAACTGAATGCACCAAACAAAAACCAGCAAAATATTTTTTACTGCGAAATGTCACCCTTCCAAAGAGCATAAATCTGAAATTGTTTGAAAAAAATAATGGATTTCTTTTTCACCAACCTAATATATTGAAAGAGTCATACCGCTCGTATACGTTTTGGTAATACTTATACGCTACCCGTTACCGGTTTTAGGATCAATATTCAACATTACTAGATTTCCCTTTAAGATCGGGTAAAAGTTTAAAAAGACGATGTCATTCGAGCAAAATGTCTGTAAATATTTAGAGGTCATGAAACGATCCAGAAAAGAGGACCAAAAGGGGGCAGTTCTTATGACTTCATAGTAACCGACATAATAACACTGTGAAAAAACGAAGCTTATTATTTGGGGTGGAGAAAGGACTTTACGAGTATCTTAAGAGCCCAGAAGGTCAAATACGCCATAGGTCAACGCTTCAACAAAATCTTCTGAAGACGAACATCGTTGACCAGACATTTTTATTCCCTGTACCACACTGTGGTACAGGATATTATGTCTTTGTGCATAATACCCTTGAGAATATGCATAGAATCACTTTCTAAGTCGATTTATGCATGTCCGTCCATGTTAAATAGTAAACAAAGTACAGGTCGCATTTATGATCTGAATTGGATGAAAGTTGGCATAGGTCACTTATTTGGCCCAAGCACGAACCCTTTTGAAATTGGGAAAAATCGGTTCAGATTTAGATATGCTCCCATATATATTTTCGTCCGATTTAATGTAAATTGTGCACAGAAGACCCTATATATCTTTCGATTTGCACGAAATTTTGCATAACGTACTCAATTAAGTCTAGAATGATGTGTGCCAAATTTCGTGAATATCGGTTAAAATTTAGGTATAGCTCCCATATATAGTTTTGACCGATTTTCAGTAAATGGTGCACAAAATTCCCTAGATATATTTCGATTTGCACGAAATTTGACATAACGTACTGAATTGAGCCTAGAATGATGTCTGCCAAGTTTCGTGGAAATCGGTTCAGATTTAGATATAGCTCCCATATATATTTTCGTCCGATTTAATGTAAATGGTGCACCAAAGTCCCTATATATCTTTCCATTTGCAGGAATTTTGACATAACGTACTGAATTGAGCCTAGAATGATGTCTGCCAAGTTTCGTGAAAATCGGCCCAGATTTAGATATAGCTCCCATATATAGTTTCGTCCGATTCCATGTAAATGGTGCACCAAAGTCCCTATATATATTTCGATTTGCACGAAGTTTAGCTTTACGTAATGAATTGAGCCTAGAGTGATGTCTGCCAAGTTTCGTGAAAATCAATCCAAACCAAAGTTCCTATGCATAGCGTACTGAATTTAATCCAGAATTATATTATAGAGCGATTTTAAGTAATTGGAACCAATATATAGCTGATAGGAACAAAACATACTGAAATTAGTATAACCTAACCTAAGACAAGTTTCGTTGAAATCGGTTCATATTTAAATATAGCTTCCATATATATTTTCGTGCGATTTTAAGTAAATTGTGCATCAAACTCCTCATGTTTGTCAGATTGACATCAAATTTCGCACAACGTACAAAATTGAGCATGGAATAACGTAGTTGCGTTTACTAGAAGTACAAACATACTCCTAGAAAACGCAACTACGTTTTCTAGTAGTACAGACATAACCCAGCGGATGACCTATTGAAATTTGTTTGAAGTCGATTTGCATACTTTTGTCCCATTGTAACAAACAAATGACAAGTTTATGGATAGATCTAGGTCGATTCACATTTAGATAAATATCACATATTTCATTTCATCCAATTTCATGATAATATTCCTGTTTAATATACCCATAGTGGTGAAGGGTATCATATAGTCGGCCCGTCCGACTTTACTACATTCCTTACTTGTTTATTTTGTGTTCTAATCACAGCAAATTCGTCATCACGTAGCTCCCATAAAAGGTCCCCATTAATTTAAGATATTTTGAATGCCCACTTCATGGAGGGTAAAAAATTGACCAGGTCGAACTTAATGCCTTGTGTACATGTATCCCAAATCTCCAACTTATTTTAAATGTTATAAGGTCATTTGAGTGTCATTTGAGAACGCAGCGAAATATTGTATTGTATATATCGACTAGCTGAGTTCGGCTCGAACCAAAGAAGACCCCTATGGTATTTTTTTCTGGCTGCTCTAGAGGCCATAATTATGACCCGAACATCACGAAATTTTACACGGATAGGACGATCTGTCCAAGGAATAAGCATGAGGCCTTGGATGATAATAGGTCAATATTTGCATTCTATATCGAATATAATTATTCTGAAATACATAGACCGAAGAATTTGATTGTAGTAGATTCATGAGGAGTGTTTGACCTTTGATACAAATACTCGGATGTGGGAGTGATACGAAAATATTTAGGTATACTCTTGTTTAGTATTATCATACTCACTTTAGAGGGTGTAAATGTTTATAAACAGAATATCACAAATTCTACACGGGGAAAGAGATCTCACCAAATAATTAGAATGTCTGTTTTGATAAGGATCGGTTAATATGTAGGGTGTCAAATGAACCCCAACTTTTATGTGTAAAATATCAAAGTTTGTATCTTATACGGTAAATGATCACTCTGGGAAAACATGATTCGGAAAAGATTCCAGGGTAAGAAAGCGGATGTGTTGATCTTTAATCGATCAAGAAATGTTTCCCTGCTTTGGAATATAGATCTGCAGAATGTTTGATTTGAGTGGTAGTTGTGTAGCAGTTTAAAGTATGCAACAATATGGTATGCTGTAGGTCATAATCAATTTTCCAAACTGACTGCTAAAAAAAAAACTTTTTAAAGACAAGACTCTCATATGAATATCCCAAGTATCCGTTATTTAAATGGGTACCTAATGGTAGAGGGTACAAAACGTTCGGTCCTGTCGAACTTTTTGTGTTGATATATCCCAAAAAATATTGTTAATTTGTTGATTGGAATTTAAATACTTTTCATAGTCATTTAAGTATGATATATAAAATACAGAACATACATAGTATGTGTGGACATATGTCATTGACAGAAATATTTAAAAATATATTATGTGCCTATAAATATACAATATTCTATTAACATGCAATTGTGACATACATATGTACAAAAAATTTATAATATTTCGTTTTTTTTTTATTTCTTTTTCTTCGTCTTACATATACAACAACAAAAAATTTGGACCATGTACATACAACCAATATAAAATATTGTCATTTGACAAAAGGCAGCTGTACTTAAATATGAGAATAATGTTATGAATATTCGACAATTTAATTGTTCACCCCATCCATATTGGCTGCCAAATTTTATGGATGTCTTCACATGGTCATTGCCATTTGTTGGCGAGAAGGTAAGTTATAGGCCAGAGGCATTTACACATTTACTCAAACACACAGACATACCCAAAAGTATGCGTGGTATCCATAAAAATCGCCTTCATATTTTTTTAATATATAATAAAAATTTTAATTTTTTATGCCTCCCACCTCCATCATAAATTCATTAAACAGATTAAAGGGAAAATTTAGTCGCAAACTAATCATCAAAATATAATGTGATCATCCATTTTGATTATATTTTTGTTGTTTTATTTTCCCATTTTCCATTAGGTTACCGATATGCTTGTGAGCATTTTAAATATCTGCTCGGATGACGAACTTCTAAGCGGCCCAGATGATGAACTAGAGGAAGGTCAGTATGGCATGATAATATTTCCGTTTTTATTTATTTTTTTTATAAATATAAACATACATAAATATTTTTATATCGTTTAATATTCTTATATATCAAAGCACAACGAAACGTAAAGAAAATAATAAATATTTTCTAATTCGAAAATGTGTTTGTAATTAAAAGAAAACAACAATAAATATTTACAAATGTTAACACTTTGAATGTGCACAGTGGTTATATATGGAATGTTGTAAGGGGAAAATGATATTTGTTCAACATAGAATACCAAAAATGTATAAGGATACGCTATAACATACAAAATTAACAATTTTTCATTTTTTACTGGAAAAGAAAATATAAAGTCAGAAGGAGTGGACCATCTTCGATATTGATCTGGTTAATATAAATATATTACGATGTGCAAAATTTTGATTGAATAGGACATTTCGTTCGCTGAATATTAGATTTCCATGTTTCAAAAAAAACGAACCTTTGTGAGGGATGTACTGTGGACCGATAAGTCCCATCTTCCAACATTATTCAGTCATGGTATAATAATTATAATATTATATTATTTTGCACCCTCTTGACCAATTATAGGGCAAAAGCTCCACTTTCTAACCCTGCATATTTCCAAATCTTGTTTTCCCGAGGTGAATATTTACGCCATAAAAAAAAAATTCGGTCACTTTAGGTTTTGGGATTTAACCCTCAGAATATTGACGATCATCATCTAAACAGCAGTTCTAAGTATTTGGTCAGATCCACCACACCATGTAAAATATGTGACGTTCTGCATACAATTATGTCCTCTTGAGCGACTAGAAAATTTTGTTTTCGATTCAAATATCATCTTAAAATCACCGAAAATTGGATATACTATCAACTAGTCGAGATATGAGACTATCGGTATACTTAAAGGTGGGTATAGGACCAATATTTCGCGGCGCTAGAAAATCTGGCGTTTGCCCAAAATTGTAATACCATGACAACATAGTTGTGTAAGATATAATTAATATTGAACAAAATGTTGTCAGTTTTGTGGGGAAGGTACTAGAAGAAGTGGAACGGTAGGTCCCATCTTCGATCCTGATTTATGTTTGGAAGAAATATTACGATTTGCAAGGGTTGGATGAAATAGGTTACTCCCTTCGAGAGTTATCGTGTGCACCAGCCAGACGGACATTTGTAAATCGACTCCAAATTATTTGAGTCAGATTTGATTCAAAGAACCATGGGGTCTAAAACCAATATTTCGATAAGACACATTGCCGTATCAAAGTGTATATACCCTCATTAGCCAAAAGCTTAGGGTATAAAAACGTTTTTCCCGGTAATAAAGGTCCAATGTTTTTTATTGTGCCCTATAAATGGGCCATTGGTTTCATTTGAAAAGGCGGAATGTTACAATTTTATCCTTAAGAAGAAACAACCTCTAATTAGCCCCATTTACATAAAATCGGAAAAAACTATATATAGGAGCTATATCTAAACCTGAACCGGTTTTCTCGAAACTTAACACACGTCATTCTAAACTCAATGGAGTACGCCGTGCCAAATTTCGTGCAAATCCAAAGATATATAGTGACTTTCGTTTCACATTTACCTTAAATCAGATGACACTATATACGGGATTTTCTTCAATTTCAATAGGGTTTTCTTCAATTTCAATAGGGTTCGTCCTTGGGCCATCCAAATCGGTCGCATCCGATTGTCTGTTCGTACGTGTAAATTGTTTACACGTACGAACAGACAGACGGACATGCATAAATCGACTCAGAAAGTGAATCTA